AAATTAGTGACATGATGAGATCTAGACATTTTAAAAAGTTGTGATAAATTTAAGAGAAATGCTGAAAACTCATGGTGAGTTTTAGACAAATTCCCTTAATAATTTGATTACTTTCAGACCCTCCTTCACCCCCACAAAGCCACCTTCAAATCCAAGGACCCCTACCCCGTTCTACATCATCATGTTCTTAATAATGCCATTGTATCTATTGTACTTTTTCCTTCGTTCTTATTCATTACTTTAATGGATTTTGGCCCTAGTGACCCTTGAACTTTGGGAAAATGCTAGTTTTAACCTTATATTTTAGAAAAAAATCATTTTCGACCTTGAACTGTTGAGAAAGGGCCTCCATAAGGCCAAAATGGACGATATTAGAGACGTGTTGACACATCCGTTAGATATCTCTGCATCAATTAATGGCAAAGATAAACATGCATTGAGGTATTCACCTCTTAAAGTTAAAAATGAACTCAGCTAGTGACCTAACACCTAGTGATCCATTTGCTTGAACCATCGAACCTTTTGACTTGTTCTAGGTTATAGTTTTGATTAAATCTTTTTTTTTTTCTTTGTTTGTGTTTTTATCCATTTTCATAATTAATAATAAAACCCTCATTTGCCATAATTATAATATAATAGCATAGACATGGCCAACTTTTTGTTATTAATTCCAAATGGTAGTGCATCCTGTAATCACTTGAAACTCTTCTTCCGGGGCCATTTATACCTTCTATAAGATGGAGCCCAGAGTTGTAGATATGTTGGCGCTGAAGTATGAAACCTCCGTGGGCATCCCTCTAACATCATTCTCTTCAATCCTCACCTCTACCAAAGTGCGAGTAAAAATTACATTTTCAAAATTGCCACGATCAAGTTTGACTCGTCTCGCTGTTACATACAAGAGTTCGACTAGTTTTGCGTTAAGAATATTTTTATACTTATGTGCTTTATTTCATGGAGAGATATTTCTAATATAAAGTTGCAAGAGATTACTCAAACAGAATGAATACGAGCTTGCACTGGGTGAAGCTGAAGTTATGCCATGAATCTTCGACCAGCATATCTTCACGGCCCAAAGTAACCTCCTTTTCTACTCCTTCCTTGCTCTGTCTTGTTCCTACTAACAGCCTTCACCTCTTTTGTTGTATACAAAAAATATGGGATTTTAAAAATGCAAAACTCTTCCCATGATGGTCACTTTGGAATGTTAAATGTGTGATTTTTATAGGGAAAAAAAATATTATAATGTATTTGATTCATGGAATGGTAAAGTGGGTACAATGTGTGTGAAGTTCTCCACCACTCCCCCTCTGAATTCAGTATAATCCTAAAAATAAGAGGGCTGTGTCTAATCTAGATGTATATATTAAAATGGAATGGTTTGGCATGGCCTAAATCTTTTCTCTTTTTTTTTTTAGTTTTTATGTTTTTCTAATTCTACATAATTCTATGTTTGTGTTTAGCGAATGAAACTTTCAGGGTAGAAAAGAGATTAATGGAAATTTAATTAGGGTATTAGATGACCCATTTTTCTTAGAATTCCTTTAGGAGGTATTCTTTTTTTGGATTTTGAGAGGGTGGAAAGTTGGTCAATAGGATTTTGATTCCCATTGACCAAGAATCCCATGTTCTTTTTTCAGATTTATGTGGGGACTAGGGAAAGTTTATTTTCTTAGGTATCACTTACCTGTTAGGTGGATAAATGACTTTCCCACCTAGGGGGAAAAATATAAACATTTGAATGGAACAAAAATGCTTCTTTTAATAATGGATTTTTATGGCTAAAATGGTCATTGCCTTATTTACATTGGAAATAAAAGAACATGGGTAAGTGCATTTACTCGGATATGTCTTTCCTAAAAAACACTTACTCGAGTAAATACATTAACCGAAAAACAAACGAACCTTAATGTACCAGGGGGTGTCTTTTTTGGGTTTTGTATGATGGGTGGATGTTATTTTTTCAAAAACTCATTATTATGCGTTAGAGGGTAGTAATAATTACTTTTGTGGTACAAGGATAATTTATTAATCATATATAATCAAATCAACTATTATTAATAAGTTGCATATATTAAACATATTGTTAATAAAACATAATATGATAATTATTATATTTATAAACAAAGTATATAATTAACTATAACTTAATTAATCTTAACTAATTGATAATATAACATGGATTATTAAAAACTTTTAGTAAAATTAAAATTAAACAAATTTGTTAATTAACAATTAATATTTATTAATTCAATTAGCTTTAGGGGTGAACATTTTTTAGCTTGGCCCTGTCCGGGCATGTATTAATACAACAAACTGTGAGGCTGGGCTTGGGCCCAACATTTCAAGCCTGGTCTGAGCCTTATGGCTCACACATGTTTATATTATATATGCATACTTATAGTAATATAATATATGATATTTTATATTATTAAATGTATAAAAGAATTTTTCTATACATATTATATGACATATAATATAAAACATTACATATATTCACCATTTTATATAGAAAATTAATAGGCTCGAATAAGCCCGACCCTATCCAGGGTTAGCCTATAGCCCTTATTACAATTGCTAAGCCTAGGCTAAGCCCATGTAAGATTAGGTACAAACTTATGTTTTTGACTTAAAACCCAGGTCCAACTGAAGCTTGGGCTATATAGCCTTTTTTTTTTATAATAACAATAAGCTTTATTAATGATGCTTTGTGAAATTTTAATTAGGGAGAGGTAAAAAGTCTTAACTCCCCCGGAAGAAAATTAAAAATTAGTTCAAAACAAAGATTCTCTATTCACTTCTTGTCTGGCTAATCCATTGGCAATTGAGTTAGCAATTCTCTTCACCCAGTTGTACTTCACCTCAATATCCCTACTCATCTATTTGAATTTTTTTTTTTCATTGCTGTAGTTCCACAAATCACTATTGTCTCCCTTTAACCATCTAATCACTACCTCAGAATCACCTTCAATTCTCTTGTTCTTTAGATTCCTTTCAGAACTGCAACAAAAATTTCAGCCCTAAGAGTGTCAAGCCCATGTTTTGTGAATCTGTGGGTTCACGGGATGCGATAAATTCAAATGTTAACGGGATTTTGGCTATCACCCAAGGTGTTCGGTTGAATCGGATGCAAAAAGACAAAGAACCCGAGTTCACAAACTCCTCTTCCTCCATTCCCTCAAGCCCAGCAGCACCGGCGTCCTCACTCCACACCGATAGTCATGAATGTGGAAGCCATCGGCGGCGAGCGCATGGGCTTATTACTAGGGAGCAGAGAAAGCGTCCTCTAAACATCTCTCCTCCCGGAGGAAATCATCCATCCTTCTCAAAAGGGGCGAGTTTAAGAGAGCGTGTTCCTGAAAGTGGCAGATGCACTGAAGAACGTCATCTTTGTCTAGAGCTTCGGAGGTATTAGAGGGTTTTAGATACAAGCAGGTTGTGAATGGGTCCTTAGTCTCGGGATCTTGTCGATCTCCGAAGTAGTTGATCTTCTCCGACTGTGAGAATGCCAGATGGTTTTTGGAAGAGATCATGAAATCCATTTCACCTGAGGACGAAGGAACAAGCAAATTAGAGACAATAAGAGACTAACAAACAAACAAAGAGAAACAGAGAGCTAGAGAAGAGGAAATGAAGGTTTAGAGCGGTGGATATGCGGGGTCTTGATCGCGGTTTTGCGGCCTTAATGGTCGAGTACGTGGTCGGTGAATAATTTTGACGAGCAGTTTGGATTTGTTTTTGTAAGAAAAATGGTCTTAATGAGAGGTAATTAATGATTAATCAAATATTACTTTAGCTGATTAAAGAAACAGGAAACAATGTTATCTAAGCTGATATATGCTCTTGCCACCGATGGCTTCTGCATTCACGATCAAGTTTTTAAAACCGATCCGGACAACTAACCGGTCAGGGTCCGGTTCCTTGGGTTGAACGGTCAGCCCATTCTGACAAAAAAATAAAAAACGGTCAAAACCGTTGAACGGTTTGAACCACCTGGGTCAATATTTTACTGACTAAATCAACGTTCTTTTGGTAAAATTCCAGTTTGGGGGAAAAATGAAACCGATCACATGATTGGTTCTCGGTTTTCTAGTTCGATCGTCTGATTTGGTCCAGTTTTGAAAATCATGTTCACGACTGCTGGTGTAGAGTGAGGATGCCGGTGTTGTTGGGCTTGGGTTTGGTAGAGGAGAATCTCAAAATATGGGAGGGAGTGAGAAATGAGGTTCAAAATGAGGAAGAGGAATCTGTGAACTCCGATTCTTTGTCTTTTTGTGTCTGGTTCGACCTAGACACCACTAGGTAATGGCCAAAATCCCGTTAACGTTTGAATCTCCCGACATGTCCTTCTCTAGTTGGTGGGTTTACGCATCCTATGCACCCACAGGTTCATAAAACGTGAACTCAAAAAAGTGACCTTCTCCAATTGGACCTGTAAACATGGCAAAAATTACTCCATCCCCATCCCTGAACACTCCAATTGGATTATAGCTTCGCCTATGATCATCGCTACTTAGCTTCTGTCCATTTTAATTATATTTAATACAAGTTTATTAATAAAACAAAAAATATTAGTAATAAATTATTAGTTCTGAAATTAATTTCTATAATTAAATATCCATTAAATTTGTATTTAAAAATAATGATAAAATTAATAAATATAATAACAATAAATTAAAAGTTATAATTAATAATGATAATAATAAATATATTTTAAAAAAATTTATTAACTTTAAAATCAATTTAAAAATAGTAACATTTAAATTTCTAATATAAAATAATAGAACTTAGTAAAAGTTAATAAAACTAAATACTACTATAAATTTATTAACAAATTAATAATATAAGAAAACTTTTAATTATATTAACAAAAAATTAATTTTAACATCAATTTATCCAACAAAATATAATAAAAAATAATGTTTGAATTGTACTCGACCTTACTTGACCAAATTGAGATGGAAATGATTGCAAGGTTGATTTTGCCGAATTCACATTTGCGCCCCGCATAGGGCGCCCCATTCGGGAGATGTTCCAAATGCACGCTGAGATGTGCATGTGGGGGCGCAGATGTGATCTCCATTTTGCCACAATCACTTTTAAAAATGTTCGAACGGGTCCCAACTGGTTTATCCCTTATTTATTCATTTCTCTCCACTCCCGCCTTAGCTTGCTATATTCTTACTGTATTAATCCGTGGAGTTTCTCTGATATAATTATGGCTTCTACCTTGTTGTCGTCTCTGCAAATCGTAAAGGTTTGTTTTGCTAGTCACTTGGTAGTTCATTTTTTTTTTAATTGTTTTTTCTACTTCAGGAACCATTAATTGAATAGTCTAATTCTTCTCTCCTTTTTCAGAGTTCCTGCTCAAGTTTCACTGACAATCAGAATTTCAATCATCATCGTAGAAGGAAGACTTTCTTCTGTCTGGTGAGCATTTTCAGATTCCTTTCATGTAACTTCTTTGTTTAACTCTATATTTTTTTCCTGAAACATATTCACTATGGATTATTGAAGATAAAAACTCCGGACCTTCTTATTGTTCTAATTTGGGAAATTTATTCAAGGAGATAACAGGGTTCATGGTTACTAAATGCCCATATCCATTTATTCTTCTTTTCACCTGTTGAATTTGGCTTTAGAACATTCTTAAAAAAACGAATAAATAAAACTTGAGTTTGTATCATTTTTTTCCCATCTAGTGTAGTTCTGAGATTATTGATTTTCTTTCACTAAAATTTCGGATATTTTTCTATGAATTGATTTTGAATGGGCAAAGTAAAAACTTCCTCCTGGTGGGCAGAAATGGGGAGATGTTAGTTGACCTCTAATGCTTATAGTCAAGTGCATTTGCTTTCAAGTGTCCATCCAAAATTTCTTTGCGTTCGTTTTATCCTCACAAATTTCTCAACTTGAATATTCTCATTATGGATTTAAGCTGCTGCTGTCTTCTCGGTGATTTAAAATTGGAGGAATTTTAATGCACTCGGATCCTTCAGCTTTCTTATGGGCATGGAACAATAGAAGGAACGGCTTAAATCCCATTAATATCATAACTGCTTTTAAGTTTATCAATGACCAGAAACTTGGTGTTACAAACTATATGGTAACTGTATTCTAGGGCTATCTTAGAGTCTTGGACAAGTAGAACAATGAAGGCTTCTTAAGCTAGAAGCATCACATTATTTACTTACTAGAGATGGAAAGTGAAACTATCTAGTATGATGACAAAAGCCACTGTGAAATGATAGATGTACAGGTTATCTGTTTTCAAAGTGATGGTGCCTAATGGATACACAATTTAAGGCAGTAGACAGAGGAATTAAAGCCAAGATGTATCTACTTTATATGAGACACACATCTAAGGAAGAAAACCAGCACAGCCTCTTAATATATTTGTCCAAAATTTGACAAGAGAGTCAATCTCTGCTTTTGATTCCTAAAAGTGTAGCTCAACAATGACATCAGATTTTAAGAGATATAATTGTATTAAAGATTGGGGGCCATTACTTGGTCATCATCATCATCATCACCATCCAAGCCTTATTCCAACCATATGGGGTTGGCTACATGAATCCTGTTTTGCCATTTCATTCTGTTTGGTGCCATTACTTGGTGCAATGGTAAAATCTCAGTCTGACATGCTTGAGAATGTGGAGCCACTTTGTGCCAAAATATAAAATAAAAAAAAAGCCAAAGGTTAGGACTGTATCCAGTCTACCCCTTCCAAGACCCCAGAAAGCATGGACCAACATTGATAATGGCCTCTTTTTTTTATAATTTCCTTCAAGATGAGTTGCACTTGGACATTTCAACTGCAAATTAAATCAGGTGGGAATTACATGTGCACCAGGTGGCCTCACGTGGAAGCACCATTCACATGCACCGGTTGGATTCCATGTGTCTGGAAAAGTTCTGCACTCTCAATCTCGCAATTCTACTAATACCAATTCCTTGGAAGAGCACTAAGTGTCCCTCAGATTAACATGGAGGATATCAATCACCTTATGCCTTCTTGTTTCCCCGAACCTACACCCCAATTACACTTCCACTCACTTCTTGACCTTGGTACGCTTCTACCCAGTTGTCAATATAATTTTGGCATTCACAAAATAAAGTAATTTAGAATCATTCTAATTCACTATGGATTTCTGTTTTTACAAACATACATTTTCATAGATATTTCATGCCCAACCTTTATTGGGGACAATCTGGAGATAATAAAGCTCAACTGTTAATTAAATTTGGGCTATCAAGTTCATATTACTGTTAGGAGCTAGCAAAGGCTGTTGTCATATAATGGGAAGATTTATTATAATCCATCCTGTGAGCAGGTTGATTAGAAGTTGAATGAATTTTTGGTTTTTCAATTGGCTACTATGAGGGCTTGTGGGGTGGTACTGGTTATCCTTGAGAAAATCTTCATAATCTGGACTGAACTATACATCTAGGCTTTGTTAAATTGTTGCACCAGCCATATATACATTCTTAGTTAAGGCATCTCAACAGGAGTTAAGGTTAAGGCACTCTAATAGGGGTTAAGGGAAGACAATGGCTATTGAATACCTTTCCTAATCAATGAGTTGATGTCGTTCCTTGGCATGAAATCACCACCAAGAGTAGGAGATCTAGCTGTTGCTTGCTGGTTGGTACACAACATAGAGCTCTAACTAGTAAAGTTGCATAATATCATTTTACACCCTATCTTCCCTGAGTCTCTTTATTGCTAGTACCATCATCTCTAATCCATAAATACTACCATACATGTTGGAAAATTGAAACCATCCAGAACAATTGGACTTTTCTTAGTCAAATAAAATCTCCCTTATATGGCAATTGTGTATCATCAGCGCTCTGCCTTTTCCTCAGGAGAGTGATTGATCTCCTGATTCTCACATTTAGGATACATTTGCAGTATGTACTATGGATGGATGTTGAAAGGAAGTCTGTAGTGAAAGATTCAATTGATGAGTCATAGATGTAGTATGACAGGAAAGCCTTATAAACTCTCCATTATGTAGGCATTGTTTTACCTGTACTAGTGCCAGTGTTGCATGGACTCTACTTAATGAACGACATGTCCATTTTAGACATGCATCGGAGTTGGGAACTCCTTGGATTCTTGAGGGCATGTCCACGTAAGATTTCCTTTTTTATCTCCTAACCTATTTGACATAAATAAACAGATAATGTTCAAAGATGAATGCATTTTACCTATCAAATGTAGCAAAGGCAACATTATTTGCAGGTATGTAATTTTTTTATCAGCAACACAGATAAGATTTCATTAAATTAGATAAAAGGGGTATAACAAGAACTTTTGAAGAGATATAACAGACCTAAAGGGACTGAGGCCCCGTTTGGTGCATCTTTCTGCGTGGTCAGTTGGCTATTTACAAGCCTGGCAGACCGCATCTGCATCTTTTCCCATTTGGTTCGTAGTAGATCTAGCTGCCAAAAGCCGAAGCACCGAAAAGACGCGAGAAGCCCATTTTGGGCGATTTTCAGAAGCTCCAAATGGAGATTTTCAGTATTTTTCAATTCATCTTCGCATGGGAAGACGTGTGGAAAGACAAGCCTGAACCAAACGGTCTTTAGGCTGTCAAGATCTTAATGCAAAAGCTCACTGCGTCTTTTGACTGTCAGAGCTACCAGAAGATCTTCCCAAAAAGACTTGCCAAACGACCCCTAATTTATCCCAGAAAATTACAAATGAGCCCAATGCATAGACTGTCTCTAAACCCCTTACTTAGCTAGACCATCTGCCAAATTGTTTGCAGATCTCCTTACCCAATTGACTTGAATTATCATTTCTTTTGAAAGCCATTTGAACGATCTAGAGTCATTCCTTAAATTCCAAGTTATTTCTTCTCCCTTTTTCAGCTAGCTCACAACTGTTCTTGAGTCACCTTCAATAATCGATCTTTCAATACCCAATTCCTTTGCTTTCTCCATCCCAAAAACTGATGCCAAGAATCTGATATGAGAAAATCACCTTGCCCAACCAGAATACAATGAGAGTATATTTCCTTTTTCATCCCTTATTACCCCACAAATGCCTAATAGTCTCAGATTTCCCACACAACTGCCATTAGAATTCAGCTTCTTCCAACCACAACTTGGTGGTGACCATTTTGTAGAGGCTTTTTGTCTTCTAGAGGAAGAAACAACTATTGCACCCTAAAACTTGACAAAATCATCAACCTTGAACCCAAAGAAAAGCCTAGTGTGCCACTCTTGGGGTAATTACCTTTATCACATAGTTTTAGATTTCCATCAGAGAGAGTGTTAATCGGGATGTTTTCTTTGTCTGACAAAGTGGCTGATCTTATCACAATGATCACCCACTTAAGTGATATTTCAAACTACTCTAAAATACCTAGGTATTTGACCCCTCGAGGATCTCATTGTCACTGGTTGGTACATCAAAATCAGACTAGTTCATCACTTAGTGTAGTACTATTATCAAGTCTAGGGGTTAAGTGCAACTTTCTAGTTTTGTCCATCTATCTCCAAGGTCCAGGACATAATTGGAAATGGTCCATGTTCAATGTTTCAAGAAACACTCACTAATTGTACCTTGGGTCTAACCCTGGCAGTTGAGACAAACTGCTCCACCAATTTAGCAATATAATAGTGTTAGCCTTGGCAAGATGAACTCCCCAAGTTTATCCAATGGCTAGAAACATTCTAAACTAACATAAGTCTCATAAATGTCCAATTTAAGGGGAAATTCATAGAAACATACCAAAGCACACATGAAATAATAATGATATGATTTTATTCAATAATAAATGTTAAAATATATCAGTGTGATTGAAACTGAGGGCATACACTGTTTAACACCAACCCCATAACGAATCTCCACACAAAGTCTGCTATGATGTAATTACTATCAGATGACAACAAATAATGCAATAGCTTGCTCAACAAACACCCCTACTTTCAGGTAGTCCAAAGTAAGAATGCTGTCAAGAGAAATTAGCTAAGAAAACACTTTAAGTCTTGGTGGAATTGGATATACTTTTTTCCACTTTGAGCACCATGAGCTATGACCATTTCTCGCCTAGCTTGGAATATGCATATATATTATATATAATATATGAATACATGTATGTGTATTATGTATTATATAAGTAAATGTTTAAATATGATACATTTAATATATGCTATATTAAAATTTTATGCCATATTAAATATAATATACTTAAAATTGTAGCCTGAAAGACCAACCCAACGGCTCCAACCCGTGAGAGTGGATGAGCAGAAATAGTTAACATGTCTTTGCACTTGGGCAAATTTGTAGGCATCTATTCCACTACCTGTTGTCTTCTTCCACTTCCCTTCCTTGCTCTTCTTTTTTTTTCCAAGATCTGCAACTCATCATATATGAGAATTAGCACAATTAATGTAGGGGAAATTAATATCAA